TCTCTCTCTCTCTCTCTCTCTCTCTCTCTCTCTCTCACACACACACACACACACACACACACACACACACACACACACACACACACACACAAAATAAATAAATAAATAAATAAATAAATAAATAAATAAAATACTGTAGACTATGTATAGACGATAGAGTCTATACATAGTATGTCTGGACTACAAACAGACTGTCTAAAAACCTTAAAAAACACAGTTGTTGCTCCCACGACATATGTACTGTAACAAAAGACAAACTTGATGTGCACGCAGTTCTCTGAACGTGCACAGTTAAAAACATCTGCACACCAACGGGCCTAGTCCCGTTGGTACACCCATGAACTGCCTAAATGCAGACCCAAGTTTGAATATGGACGCATTTATGGGGTCTTCTCTTTTTTTGGGATAATCGGTAGAAAGAGCCTACTCCAAAACCTTTTCGGTTTTTTTTTTTTTTTTCTTGGAAAACCAAATGATTGTGTTAACAGAAAAGGAACCGAGGCCGTAGAATGGGCGTAGATCTCACAGTTCTTCTCGGGCTGGGGCCATTTCTCAGCTATGTACGAGTCTCACCCCCTCTCTTCTTTGTGCTCTTCCTTGCATTAAATCACCCCTTTCCCTTCCTCCCTGGTGCACCCATCCCTTTCGGATTCATTCCGGAAAAGTTATAAAACCTTCCCGCGACCAAATCTTTGTATTCATTTCCCCCAAAACGGGGCAGAAAACGTCGCAGGCCCCAATTTGACTTTCAGCGTCATTTTTGTACCTTTTTTTTTTTTTTTTCCTTGCGACGGTAAAACGATCTCCTCACCGGGTCAGCCCAGTTAGTGACATCTGGCACGTCAGGACTTTTTGAACCACTGCTTCCTTCCCCCTGCTTCTTGACGGCTGCCACGTCAGGTGCTTCAGCTGTCTAACATTAGCATGATGGAAATGTGATCCTACAGGTTTTCTTAACGACATTTCATTATTCTGTGTGCAGAGACATTGAAGTAGCTGAGTTGGATTATATCCGATTCGGAGAAAGTTCTGAGGCAAGTCTTACTACGAGGCTTTTTCCAAGACCAGACTTGATGGACGGCCTTGAGGAGTTCCTTCTCGGCTTGCCTGACACCAGCATACCTCCTGTGATAGTGAAGCTGTACGTCTGTATGACGCGAAAGCGGTGCCCATTTCTCTTCACACCAGGTAGGATCACCTCTACCCTCGCCGAAGAGAAGTATGTCATAATTTGATGTGATCTCAATTGACTCATCAACGGACAAGTTAAACTGACGAGTGTTTTTTTTTTTTTTTTTGAACTCACGAGTTTCTGCCGCCTGCAAACAGATGAATTTGAAGTTTGTCAATAACTTGAATTTCTTGAAATGGATTATGCAAAGGACATAATGGGCATCACTGGCATGTGGATGTGGTCCCATCACCTAGCTCAAGTGGTTGCATGTCAGAGCTGCACTACTACCTTGGAGTTCTTCATCCGAGTAGAACGTCCGGTCATTATGGCTGTATTTGGAGCAACTTTCAGTCAAGAATCTAGATACAGCTATAATGACCAGGCGTTCTATTCGGGTGACGGCGGTAGATAGGTGCTGGGCTCAACACTCTGAATTCACTCTCTGGCCAGCACAAGACTCTGACGTCGCTCTCTGGCCACAGCTTACGGTGGTCAAGTCTGCTAGCACAACAGACTAGCAGCTCATATGGTTGCTTGTCTGAGTTGCCTTTGATAGGTGCTGGGTACCACTTGACACTCCTGTGAGAATGATGGTGGTGAAGACGATGGGGTGTTGTGCCGCCGCCGAACCCGTACCTTGCTGGAGTGTGGCCTGGAAGAGAGACACAGGAGTGACAGGACCCAAGCACACAAGGTTGACCAGATGGTGGTTTAGGGTGTCTTGTCTGATCATAATTGGGATCCCCATAAGCATCGGGTCTGCAGATTGAGGTCGGAAAAAAAAAAGAAGGGAAAACTAGCGGGAGTCACAAAAACGAGTTACAATTGCACTATGGGCCAAGATACAGTTTCAAATTGCAGTTCGGGCAGTGTATACAACCCATCTTTCTGGCCAAGTAGGGTGCCCGAAGTGCAATTGCAAACTGTACCTTGCCCCATAGTGCAATTATCACTCAAAAGAAAGAGCATGTGAATGTGCAGATGTCTGACCAGATATGTGCATGTGCATGTGTCTGACAAAATATGTGCATGTGCATGTGTCTGACAAAATATGTGCATGTGCATGTGTCTGACCAGATAGGTTGTCCATCACCATCACCTATCAGCCTCCATTACCATCTCTCCTCCTGTGACAAAATGCCCCTGGCCAATGGCCATCCCCTCAACCCCCCATCCATCCAGTGGCCCATCCCAGCCTGCCTCAACCGGGAGTTAACCCCGTACTCCCTGAAATGATCCCACTACAGCCGACCTCGATGTATCTGACCGCAATTACATCCCTAGCTTAGTCTTAAACTTCCTTTCCTGTAACTCCCAGTACTGTGACTTCATTTATCATCAGACGTTTCCTTCTGTTCGATCTATGTGGCCAGCTTTCTGTTTTTAGTTGTTCCTATTATTTTTGCCCCGTGGCAATGCATCCCTTTGTTTAAGCCGAGACCCCAATTGTTGTCAAATGGATGGAATGGACGTCCAGTGGATGGGGTCTATCCTGCGTTAAATCACCAATAGTTCCACAAGTCGCCGCCGTATCTGCACAGTGGCGGCTCCTGTCCAAATCAGTCAAGTGGAAATCTTGCGGCTCTATTTTTGGCCACGGCCGATGCATGCACGAAGTACTGGTNAAAAAAAAAAGGGCGACGGCCTTGAGATATTATCATTGAGCTGACCGGCCCCAAGCAATTCATTAGTAGTTGGTTTCACTTGTCAAGTTCCATGATCTGGATTCGAATACAGGTCTGTATTTCAACAGTTCATGGGTGTACCCACTGAGCTAGGCTCTTGGGGTGTACTGGTGGTTTCACTGTGCAGAGAAAGGTAAAACGCTGCAAATTAAAAAAAAAAAAAACAAAAAAAAAAAACCGCTGCAAATGGTAAATCATGTGGTAACTCATGTGTCTACAGTCTTCCCCCCCGGAACATAAGGCACCCTCGTCATGACTGTATCAAGTCCGAAAGATATCTTGTATACAGTAGCCAAGGTGCTTGACACTTTGCTGGCTAATCATGTTGCTCCACCTTGCCCAGTACTGGAAAAAGTCAAGTTTGATGCTCCATCAACAAAATACAACTGCCATATGTCAAACACCCAGTCTGAGAGTGCGGGTCTCAATGCAACAGTCTTCAATATCAGACAATAAAATGGAGAGTGCTTTTTGAAAATTGAAAACTAAGTCTTGTGGAACTGATCTTTCATTGAAATGTCAGACTGCACTCTCCAACACTTCACTGCTGGCCGTTGTGAGAGGGAGATAATGAGCACTACGAGGCTCGCCGCACAGGCTGTCGAAAAAGAGGTTTTCCACAATTTTGCATCACACGGACTTCCAAAGAATTGCGGCTCAAAAAAGTTTCGACAGGTGTCAGAATGATACTTTAGGCAGCCGCCCTCCAGCAATAGTTTCCTCCAGCCTGCAGATCATGGAAATTCGACAGTGGCCCGCCTACCTTTCGAAAATTGACACCCGTGCCCTGTCGAAAGGCGGAGTCCGCCTGGCCATGACCAAAAACCTTGCCCCTCGACAGCCTATGTGGTGAAGGGGGGGTAAACTGTCGACTGCCTACTTTCAATTTTCTTCTCACACCTGTCGAAACTCTTTGAGTTTCTACAGCCTGTGTGGTGAGCCTCTAAGGCAGTGCTGTGACCGTGTGAACGTGACCTGCACCGGTCACTTGAACGTGAACGGCGGGTCATTTGGCCCTGCGCCTGTGAGGCTGTGAACGGGCAGCCCACGAAAGAGTGGTGCTTTTTTTTTTCTTTTCGGGGCCCACCCAGCTACAGTCCTGCCTGGAGGTGCCTGGTCTCAAGCTAGGCCCATGTACAGCCAGGGGATCCAGCGTTTGTAAAACGCTGGACCCTCAGGAACAGCAAATTTTGGTGAGTTTTTGGCCAAAAAACTCAGTTTCAAATTTGTTCAAAAAATAAAAAATGTCCATTTTGATAAAATGGTCGTTGCAAGGAAATTTGCAAGTAGGTTGTCAGAGAATGCTTCTCGACAACTCCTTCCTAAAGTTGTTGAATCCTCAGCCTGCTACTCCCATGCTTTCAACAGACCTCGGCTGCACTACCGAGTGGGCGTGAGGTTGGGATGGACTAAAGCTTGTTGTACCCTCAGGCGCGGTCGTCTTTTTCCATCTTGCATTCGCAAGTGCATCCATTCTACAGTGCTGTTGGCGAAAGGGGGCCAAACTGTCGAGAGGCCGGCCGTGGAAGGAATTTTTCAGCCTTTCGACAGTGGTGTGGCGATATTTGAGGTACTGGCCCCAGAAACTACACGTCATCACAATCATCACGCATCATGCGGATTCATGCCTGATCGGCCCTGATGCTATTGGTCTAATTGCTGGGCCAAAGTGTCCTGAGCTCTCTTTTCTTTTTCAAAATAACTATGGGGGAGTCATCCTTCATGTTTTCCATGTTCAATAGAAACTCGAAAATTCACCTTTGACTTGGCCCCAGTCTTAAGTGTAAGAGAAACTAGGACCTTCAGTTTTGCAGCGGTCACATCTGACAGCCACATCATACAGTACCCCTTGAGTTGTGGTGGCGCTCGTGATGGAACTGCCTAAGGAACTAGGGCCTCCGTTTGCTTCTAAAAACTGAAGCGGTGACAAAAGTGTTACTGCGAGTTTGGTTTCCATTTTGAACGTTCCATTTTGGGGAAAAGTTATTAATGCCCCACCCCAAACGAAGAAAAACGTGTTGCAGGCCACAAAATGACTTTTCGCCTACCTTCTTCACCCAAAAATAACGCCCGGGCATTGTATACAGGCGTTATATTCGTTTATAACGCCTGGGTGTTATAATCAGTAAATAGGTGGCAACTTCGATGGGGCCCCAAAAATCCGAAGGAAAAAAAAGATTCAAATCTTTTAATTAAAAAAAAAATGTTGTCCAGAATTGCAATATGACGATTTGTTGGCTGAGGGTCACTACAGAATTCCTTATAAAATCAGAAATGAAAAAAAAATACAAAAAATCAAACCCATGTATGCCCCTTGGAAGTCAAAACCCCTTTCAACCCCCTTTAAAACCCATGTATATCCCCCTCTTCACCTTTTCAAACCCATGTATACTAACTCTGCAAGGCACTCTGCCCATGGAACACTCAATGTGACTCAAATATAAAGCTCGGGCTTTATATTCGAAGGGGCGCTCTATTTGAGAAAAAGAGACTAAAAACGAAAATCTGATCTCTTTAGGGTAAGTTAAATATAACTTACGGGCGTTATTTTCGGGTGAAGACGGTAGGCTACCAGAGTGGCCTGAGACCACCGGTAGGCTACCAGAGTGGCCTGAGACCACTTGCCCGGTGGGGCCAAGAACAATTAAGAACTAAAAATTTGAAAAAATATTTTTCACTTTCTATTTGGTACAGAATTTCCATGTGCCCCTGAGCAAAAGTTGCTTACTTTATTTTCCTGCATAACATAGTTTTTTTTCAGATTTTTTTGATTTTGTTTTTGTTAGGCTGGGACCTATTTGCCCCTTGCACTGCGGGGCTGCCCGGGCAAACAAGATCACCTGGGCCGCCTGGCTCGTAGCCTAGCTTTTAGCATCATTTTTACACCCTGGCTGCGTACTGCTGTGCAAAATGGTGGGAAAGTGTTTCACAGGGTGCAAAAATGATGCCAAAAGGCCCAAAAGTCATTTTGGGGACTGCAACACTTTTCACCCCGTAAGCCCGTTTGGCCCGTTTGGGGCAAAAGGTGTACGTTACACTGGCGGATTGCCCGTTTGGCCCGTTTGGGGCAAAAGGTGTACGTTACACTGGCGGATTGGCCGAAACACGTGTAGGGTAGTCGCCAGTTGCTACTTTCAAGCTACGGAGCCTTGCGCCTTTTTTCCTACTTGTCAGCTACTATTGGAAATTTTACAAGCTGATGCGCTCCGGGACTACTCTACAATGAGGCTACATCTCTTCGCCGACTTCTTCTTCTTCTTCTTCTTCTTCTTCTTCTTCTTTTTCTTCTTCTTCTTCTTCTTCTTCTTCTTCTTCTTGTTTGTTCAAATTCTTCTTCTTCTTCTTCTTCTTCTTCTTCTTCTTCTTGTTTGTTCAAATTCTTCTTCTTCTTCTTCTTCTTCTTCCTCTTCTGCTGCTGCTGCTGCTGCTGCTTCTTACTCTTCTTCTTCTTCTATCCCTTGCATCCTAATGGCCTGAATGTGTTTATCACATGGCTTGCTATGTTGCTTGAGTTTAACTCAACCACTGAAAAAATAAGACCTTTTTACAGCTTGGGGATAGGTTTGGGAAACGAGCTTGGCACATGGGTTGCAGAACAACTTGGGAATCTGTTTGGGAGGCTCATTGTGCGAATGTAGAAGGCTGGAGGGGAGAGAATCTGTCAGGATCTTCTGTTCTTCCTCCAGAAAACTGTGGGAGGCTTCAGGTAGCAGAGTACAGAGTTTCACAAATGGAAGGAAAAACAAAGAAACAACGGCCGATGTGGCGGGTTTTGAGTTCGCAAAGGCAAAGAAAACACGCACCCGCAAAGATATCACGGGGTGAGTTCGAAATGACAATTCGGGTAGAAAAGAATCCGTTGGGATTTTGTTTTCTTTTCCTCTCCTGTCTGACACCACGGCCGAGTCGGGCCGACCCCTGTCGTTATGACACCTGGCCTGACACCACAGCCATTGGTACTTTCATTGCTTTTTTTCAAGTTTTTTTAAATCAGTGCCTGTTTTCTTTGCCAGCGCGTGTTTTTTTTGCTCATTCGATACTCAAAAGTGACATCAACATACTTGCCCCAAAAAAAAGACAGGCAGGCATTTGTGGGAGGATGTGTGTGAATTGATCACCCCTGGCCATTGACAATGTATTGCATCAATTTACATGGGCTCGAATACCTCTTCCCTAAACTGATGTTGCAGCATTCATGTCCATGGGTTTTTAATGACACTGAAGGATGGTGAGGTCTATATCAAGAAAATCATCCCCATGGCTCTGACAGACTGAATTGTGACTGCAGGTCTCCGTGCAGGGACATCTTCCCTTCCTCCTGGGCAGGATCCTTTAACATGGAAAGTCGCCAAGTGGGTTCTAGAAGAGATGGACCATGGCGAAGTTGTAACTAAGCGCATCAATGTGCTCATACAGCCTGATACAGGAATGAAAGGTTGAAAAAAATCGGTCTTGGTTTTCGGTTCTTTTCAGGGGTGTGTGTGTGTGTGTGTGTGTGTGTGTGTGTGTGTGTGTGTGTGTGTGTGTGTGTGTGTGTGAGAGAGAGAGAGAGAGAGAGAGAGAGAGAG